TACTTTCTTGCAAGTGTACCTGATCCCTTACCAGAAGTCATTTTTAAAAAGGAATGACATGTTACTAAACGCTTCTGCAAAGTGAAAAGTGTTGATTTTAAATTGTATTTTCGTTAAAAATTGAAAACGCAGTTTGGGTAACGTCAACCAAGGAATCCCATTTCCAGTGTAACTAAAAGGAATAATGTTCTCTTTCGATATTTTGCATATGAAATCACTCTTTGGCGAATGCCTTCACTTAATTTGTCAAATGCTTTTTTAGACCAGAAGATATAAGTTTCAAATAATTTTTTTTTGCTTTACAAAAGTGCTTAGCATAAGATTCCCTATTGGATAAAAATCATTTCCTAAAATAGATCAGATATACATTAATATTAATTAGTCTCAATTGCTTTACTAATTTCCAACAGTTCCAAAGTTATATCTGTTTAAGAATAATAGAATACGCCAAGCATTCTGGTTGYAGTCAATAGTAATAAAGTCATCTTGCAAATATACATACAAGGACATCTCATCATCTGGCAACCAGAGTTCCCTATCCCAGCATGCAACAGGGGCCTTGTAKAGCCTGTGCGCTGAAGGACGAAGCAAACATTTCATACCTCAATGCAGACATCAAAGCCTAAATTCTTCCAAGGTCGACATTCTATCTTTTTTTCTTGTGCTTTACATTCGTCTTCGTCCATTGGCGGCCAACATAACCTGCATTTGACGCCAAGAGCTATATATACGAGGAAACACGAGAATCACTTTTCTGATGTGTGTGTGTTTTTGTACAATTATCATGATTATTACTGCGTGAGCTTCTATACTAACATGACTGCCTTTTCTTTTACGACGGACCTCAGAAATCAGAGTCTGTTACAGAGAAATTTAGCTTGATAAAAAGCGGTTGCACTATAACATGATGCACTATTTGTCCAAATTCCACAATTTCGCACAGGAAAACCRCCTTCAAATACCACAAATAGCATTGATTACATACTGCAGTTATTTTGATATGATAATTAAATCAATCTTAATTTGAAATGAAAACATTCTTATATTGAAATTCTCACATCCTTTTTGTTAAATGCTGACTATACAGTATACAGCGAAACCTTATACAGGATCATTAGCGTAGTTTTTAGATTTCTAACAGATCTACAATTTTGAGCCGAACCATAAGCAATATCAATATCCTTCTAGAAGGTCTACTTCAACGCTTATTTCTTTCATCAAATTTAAACAGATATCAGAACGAATGTTCTTTTCGATCGGCTTGTGGAAGTCCTAGAATGTTGATATTATAATGATATCTGTATTCATTAATAGCTTCCTCSAGTATGTCTGTGCAGCACGCTGTTATACTGAGCATTTATCTAGAACTATCTATCTCTACCTGCTCGTCACGGTCGTTTAATCATTTTCATTGTGAAATTACTAGTTCAAAATATCTTTGAAAATAGTTTGAGTAAAAAGCCTCAGCGATGTAGGGTGCATATTATAGATTTGCGGTTTGACGGTTTCTGCCGATTTTAGCGCTCGTTTTTCGATGTTGCTCTCATATTTGTGAAAGTCTACGAATTTTAAAACTGATTTTTCRACGCGGTTTCCGGTTTCAATGAACTTTTAAGTGYGGATTTGTGTTTCTAACAACCCTCTATAATAGCCTCCCTGTATRGGAGGGCAAATCAGTTGCTAGTTTCGGAAACAAACTCTTCTTCTATACGTCCTGAAACAACTTTGTGAAAGARATCAGTTTGGCTTATATTGTTATTTAAAGTAAGAGTCTTGCTTTATATAGTACGTTTAGTAGTATATATRATGCGTAGAGTATAATTGTTCAATTAGAATCTTCTAAAACAATAGATAGTAAAGCCACTTAAGAAAACAAAAAAWTCAGCTTTGATTTATGCTAGCATAATAAGCAGGTGATAAAAATTGTACATTTTAGCTATTTGCTAAAGTCCTTAATCAAACATATCATAATCATGTTTGTTTTGTCAATCATGAAACTGATTTTTCAGAAAATGAGATCAAATAATCCACAATTACTGATAAGTAATCCAGATTAGTATTGAAYTAAAATTGCCCTTTTTGAATCGCATTCCTGTAAACTGACTGAAACATCAGAGAAATAAGAATATGAATTGGACTGAAATCCMATATCAACTAACAATACATGAAAATACATGTTTATGAAACTCGTACTCGTTCTCAATTTCGTACTCGTCAAGTCTAAAGTTCCCTAATRCTATGGCGCAAACAATTCCTCAGATCTCAAACAATTCAAACAAATTAGACAATTTTAATGTCTTTTTATGGCTTTGATTCATCTACCACGCATTTTTGAGTGCGCAAAATCATCGTTACCATTCAAGATTTGTGTAAGAAAAACTTAACTCTTGTCGAACTCTTTTGATCTTATTAAGGGTTAACAAGCACAAAAGATATCCACACCTTAAGACTCGATTATTCTTACCTGGTTGAAAGTTCAACAGACAAAGAATAACCACGCCAAACAAAGATAGCTTCATTTTAGTTGCATAAAACAGCAATTGCCTTGATTTTCAGCCAAGTGTAATCAGTTATTATAAAATGTGCTTCTCGTAGTCTTGATCCTGTAGCTTGTCAGTTGGGGCGTCTAAAACAACTTAACCGTGTGGCATGCGAAGCATGAACAAGTTAATTAACTTAACTCTAATGTTTATAGGACACCAATCGCGTCTAACCACTCACAATTGATGCCCGAACACAAACAAAAGATTAACATGACAAAAGAAGGACTGTGTCGCTTTTTCAGTTCAAATCCATGGGGCGTCACTGAATGTGGTAAGCCTTCAGCTGAAGCATCTTAATGAACAGCAAATCTTAACAAAACTGTGACTAAACTGTACCAATTATAGAACACCGTCACTTTCTTCTTTTTGAGTGTCCCGCAGTCGGTGATAAATGAATCGAGGCAGAATGATAATGGAGTGCTTTTTGTTAATTTTGATGAAGTAGAAACCCCATTGCTCTAGTCAAAAYTTCATCTATAAGTTATATAATTAACAATGTATTCATTCTAACGGTGAAATCATAAAAGTACCAAGCGGGAATTGTGATTGTGATCTGAAAACACGTGATTTCATTTCTTCTCGGTTCTTTGGTAGATCAGACGCATGACTTGATTTTAACTTTTTCAAATTGTTACTTATATTTATAATGTGCAGTATTTGTAATAGCACCCTGGRAACTTGATAAGTTGAAAGTTGATTTAGTGGGATGGGATGGAGGTTGGGAGGGAAGGAGTGGGGATTCCTTTATAAAAGGGGTTGTGGTTTCCTGTGCTATAAGATAATGGGTCGGTGTGGCAGTGATAAAATTTAACCCCTGAAAGGGATCAATCAATAACCAGTCATTCTAGTTCGATTTCTCGATCTACTTTAACACTTGCAGCAAACGCCGTCTGATCTTGCCCAATCAGTTATTTTAAATCCAATACGACAGCCCAGGTCATCAAAAATGAACAACGAAAGAGTTTTGTTCGATGGCTGGGAGAGTTTCAGCAGCAACACTGGAAAAAATCGCGCGCTTTAAAGGTTGTAAATTTGATGTAAATATCATGTAAGTGTCCAAAATTCTGTAAAATTAATGTAAATCATCATTTACGACATCAATTTTACAGAATTTTGTAGACTTACATCATATTTACATCAAATTTACATTCTTTAAGGCACGCGATCAATATCCAGCACGAAAACATGATTTTCATGAGAATGATTGTTTTAGATCACATGAAAAGTCARAAAGAGAATCATCTGTCAAAGTATCAAATTAACATATATTGATTGTCCAGGAATAAACCGCATACGTTTACCAAAGATTACTCTACCAGTGCTGAAATTTTGGAATGGTCACCTATATACATGAGAACAGCTCACTAGGAGATAGAGAACGTTTCAACTAGTTATTAATGTATCTCTAGGGTCCCGCAATACGTTAATACATGAGTACATCGAGGTGACCAGTTAGAAATATACTACAGCTATTGAGATGCTGAAAAGGAGATRCGGACGGACACGCATCGTTGTTTTAGATTCTGTGTTAACGCCTAATCAATGCGATCTGTATAACACTATGGTGAACCGTTATCACACACTTTCAGAGTCGTATGAACCAAACCTTAATTAAGTATTATCATCGAATTATGGTTCCTATATAACAGTCTGAATTGTCTTATGCAGTTCTAAAAAATGGAATTTTGAGGTAATTTCCAAGATATGGCTACAGTGCGCCATGATGGTACATCAAAAAAAGTCAAGTTTCCAACAGCTCCAAAAGAAGTAAAACAGAACATGTATGTTGATGATATTCTTACTCTGTCGACGAAAACAGCGAGAAARCTAATGTCCCACACAAAGAACTATGAAAAATGGCGGATTTGACAAAGTAAATTGCAATACATATGGGCTAAGGGTATCCGCTGGGACGATCCATTGCATGAAGAGACAAGTACAGAATGACAGAACTGAAAAGATGTCAGTGCTTGCAGTACGGTAGCAAGATGTTTCTCAGCCGAGCACGAAATRGAAGGTTTTCGTAGCAAATCGTGCTCAAGAAATTCAGGAGCACTTTCCCCCAGCACATTGGCGCTATAATCCTGCCGATCTTCTCACCCGAGGAGAATCCTTCCAGATCTCATACACAGCCAATTATGGTGGAAGGGACCAAAATGGTCCGAAGATGATCGTGATAGTTGTCCCGAAAGACAGGTTGCGGTAACAGATTCAGGCCTAGAAGTACAGCAAAGGGACTTACTTGTTCTTAAGCAAAAGGCTCAAGCACTTCAATGAACAGTACGGTGTCATCTCACGACCGTTATAAAACTTGGCAAAGACTTGTACCAATCATCGCGTGGATCCTTTTAATAATGGTTAAGACATGGTCTACTTGTTTTAGTATCCAACAAAAAKATAGGACACATTTAACCAAAGAACAAAAAATATTGTTTTCCTTCATTTGATGAGACTTTCATGAAAGTACTATTGTTCAGTAGCAAATCAGGGTGCTGTATTTGTGCTAGTCTATAGTTCTATAATAGCTAAGTGGATGTTAATAAGAATTAGAYCACACTTAATTAGATCGACGTTTGTCATTCCTTAAAACAATCCCTACAAAACTGACAATACAAAATTGAAATACAAAYTAAAATAAACACAAAGGTAAAGTTTGCTTGAATCGTTTCAGCGGTATTGCAGAAGTTGTCTACGCAGCAGTAGACTGCGCATGTTCTATTGTTGCATGATTTTTGCTCATTCTTGCATGAAGCAAATGTTGTACACTTTTTTTCGATTCTTKCGTTTTGCCCAATGACTGTTTTTTGACAGGTGTTATCTCTGTTGAAGCATTCGTAGTTGAATGATATGCAATTGGCATTCTTGACGTTTGCAAAGCATTTGAAGCAACTTATAGGAKATACTGTAAAGAGAAAACAGATATGAAAAATTCAGTACGAACCGATCGGAACKAATCTCGTGATTGGTCAAGAAAACAATGCTCAAACAACAGATGTTAATGCCTAGTGTCCAGACAAATGGCCGTCATAGTTACCCAAAGGGATTCAACAACAATGAAAAAACGGCAAAACCTCAGTATCAGGAAAGAAAGAGCTTTTGTTTGATATCTTAATTGGTTTAAAATAAAGAAATTCTTGTGAATTCTAACAATTAAAGAAAATTAGAAAACTTGATAAACTTCCGCCAGGCAGGAGCGAGGGTGTCTCAGCTGTTTATCATATGCTCCAAGCAGCCACAAGATATTTATCTGTATATTTTGACTCTTTTCCGCGTTTTTTGGTGATTTTGAGCATAGCGTTCAGGGCAAGGAACGAAGTTGACTCTTTTTCCGAGTTTTCCATTCAGCGTAGTTTTATTCTATCGAAAGATTTGATTGGATAATTATTGATTGATTGTTAAGAGAATCGCATGGCGGCTCGTGACTTTCAAACTTTTCGCGTGTCTCTCCCAAGAGCACGCGTGTCTATATTTCAGCGGTCATAGAGTCATAGAAACAATCTCTTAYTGAAATTTATAACTAATGTTCCTTGATCAAGTCTTAATCTACGTATACAAATTCTTATTATATAAACATTGTACTTCTAAGAAAAGCCTTCCTCGGCTTCCATCGTGGATTTGTTCGCCAATAACAAAGCATGCAATAGGGAACTTTACATGAATCAGAACTATTCGACTAAACCGGGCCATGTAGAACGAAATARAGTTCAGTTTCTTCAGTTTTCCACTAGAATACTGTAACGGCTTCAAATTTCTGAAAAGACCCGAATAATGATATTCTTTTTGGTTATATCTTTGGTCTTTTTGTCAATAGAAAGAAATTCGGATATAAGATTGGTCTATCGATGGATAGATGTTGCCGAYTGCCCAATATTAACTTCTAAAWGTAAGAGTATTTTATGCGCTCTTTTTTTTCTAAATAGGGCATTTACCCGTCTTGAAGACAGCTCCAAGAAGAGTCGTCGTAATAAGTATTTTTGCAATGCCATCCTTAAACATCATTTCCAAGGTAGATTATATTTATCTTGATGGAAGGTTCCTGTTGAGACCAGCATCTAATGACTCTCTGGGTCATGTTGCATAACGCTATAGAGACTACGTGATACCATGGCTTTATTAAAACTAGACGCATGACTACTTACCTGACCTCAGGGCCGTCTTCTATATGCAACTAGACTGGGGCGAGCGCACGGCCAAACACACATTCTCTCTTKCAAAAATTCATGAGCTTTCCAGTTTCGATTTCGACGTTAAATTCACCAATGGCGGTTATAAATTCGCATCTATRTCTAAACAAGCCACGGAAACACACTGTTGTACTACAACATGGCATGTAATTTCACTCTTGGTAGTTTAATAAGATGAGATTTATAAATTAGTTATGCTGTCATTCTGAAAAAGTGTAGTTTCTTTAATCAATTCAAAAAAGGCTGAAGTTTTTTTCATCTTAACTTAGTTGTTTCTTCGCTGCTTTTAAAATCTTCAAATTGTTTCCTTTAATGAGTTTCTCAAATTTGCGCGGTGAGCACTAATCGGCCTTGAACATATTAGATGCAGGGGCGGATCAAGAACATCACAAAAGGAGGGGGCGAGCTATTTATTTATTTTTCCTTGAAAGAGCTTTTACTGAACTTGAATTCCAAACTAAAAAGAAGTATAATTCATATCTTTTGTGTTCTTGCACGGAAAATTCTTGCGCGGCACACTTCTTTATATTCGAGAAGCAATCTGCGAGAAGATGATCAAAACAATAAATGAAAGACAACGAATCACGGATATTGTGAATGCACTCTATCAAGGAAAAAGGCTAACTCTTCATTCAAAACTTRAATCAGCAATATCCCAAGGATATTAGTAGTATATCTACAGAATAAGTATTTACATGCATTATATCTCAATATTGCTAAAAAAACTAGCCAAATATATAAAAAGCTTGGTATTAGATAGCAGCCAATAATCGGTCAAGACTGATCATAAAAAACTGAAATACARATCAAAATAAATACAAAAGTACAGTTTGCTTGAATCGTKTCAGCGGTATTGCAGAAGTCGTCCACGCAGCAGTAGACTGYGCATGTTCTATTGTTGCATGATTTCTGTTCCTCTTTACACGACCCAAAAGTCGTACACTTTTTTTCGATTCTTTCATGTTCTCCAATGACTGTCTTTTGACAAGTGTTATCCCCCTCATCACATTCGTGATTTTCTGATATACAATTGACGTTCTTGGTGTTTGCAAAGCAAATGAAGCAGTCTATTGAAGATGCTGCAAAACAGAAATCAGATATAAAAAAGTAAGTTAAAATTCCAGCTTTGCATTGAGTATGTGTCTTTATGAATTCTTACTTTTTATATTTGCTTAATAGTTTTCGTGAAAAGAAGTGTACCTGCGCATGCTACACACTAGTATCAGAATACTCTATGATATAGGCTTCAACTAAGCTAAGGTCATGTGAAAGACTTATGTGTGTTCCAGGTAGCATGTATGCCCCTTACAAGCGTTTTCTACTTGTTGAGGCTTCGAAATCTTTCGTCGAAAGTCGCAACACTCGCGTTTTTTTYGAATGTCGCAAGCTACATTTCGTGCAAGCGTTTAGCCAATATTTGGAAATTTGAAGKTTTCATGCAAAAGATGGGACAGTGCAATGGGTTTAACAATTAGTTTAATGACAAAAGTCTTCAAGACACTTAACCAGAGCAGGAGCCCATTATACTAGGAGCCTTCCCCTTCTTCATAAGCTCTTGGAAGTGATGTTTAAAGTCCTCCAATTCGGACTGGACGGGGTTTGAAGTCCGCGCAATTAGTTCCAGATGCAGAAAAACATGCACAGTGATCACGTGATCAGTTTTGACGTTTGGCGTTCGCCGTAAACGCGTATCTAAAACTCTCTATATATGGCTATTTTACTTTGTCATCAAAGATAGTGGTGTTCGGGATGGTGGGTGCCTTATCCATTCATAATAGACTTTTGTTCGCGTCTCGAGTTCTACCAACCTTCCCTCGTTTTTGCATCAGTCTTTCTCATACTCATTAATTATTCATGAGTTATCAAGCCAATCCCTGATTGCAATTTATATCACGTGCAGTAACTGGAAACCAGAGGAAGTACTCGTACCTTGTATTCTACCTTATTTCCAGTTACTTCTCCCTTGTTTCCAGTTACGTCTACCTTATTTCCAGCTACGTCTACTTTATTTCTAGTTTCTTCTATCTTGTTTCCAGCTACTACTACGTAGCAAAGTGATTATCAAAGTATTAGAAATAATCAATTTAATATAGAATTATTTAAGTGAAAAAATTTCTTTGATACATGACTGCCTCACGAATCGATCCCCGACCTTCCAGTCCATATGCGCCGTCTTATACCATTACACCACCGAGTTTCTGATGCGWTTCCTTGGAAGATAACATACTTATAAATCTTATGAATTGGCTCATTAGGAATGCCATGAATAGCTGACAAAGACAACTTGAATTGCTTTTGTTTCAGAAACGTTTGGRAATTCAAGAACAAACGGTGCTTAATGTATTCAAAATTATGAAAAACTAAAAATCTGGTTGGAGATGCAGTAAATCTGTATTTTATTTCTGCCATTTGTATTTCCTTCGCTTTTTTCCCCTCCCGAATAATTAATGAGCATGAGAAGTTGTTCAAAGTCCTCCAATTCGGACTGGACGGGATTTCAAAGTCCGCGCAATACTCCAATTTCGAGTTCTGGTTTGCTCTGTGTTAGCCTCAAAACCAAGTAAAATATTCTTTTGTTTTGTTAATAGCCCGAGAAAATGCATGGAATTTGTGAAGAAAAACAATAAAATTGATTTGAAATCTCACACTTTTATTCTCACAATTAGGAATTTTTTGCGCACAAATGAGGCTAACACAGAGCATTGGAGAATTCGAAACTGGATTATT